CTCCCGGAATTACCCTGTGAGGTATATTATCTGTTATTGAATAAATAAAAGTATTTATAGTACTATATATAACAATTACAGATGTCTAAATAATAATTATTTATTCAAACGCACTTTTTGCATTCGGTACAAGATTTTTTAGTTTCTCTACGTTTTTTCTATGTTGCCCTACAACACAAGTAACAGGAGCCAGTAATAATTTTTCTTCCTGTGTTATTTAGTTTCGGTTCTGATGTTCCAGAATATCTATAATGTTCCTTGGCCTGCCAAGGACGTTCTCAGCAGCAAGCTTTATAGTAAACTGTTTCATGACTTGCGAATATTGAGACCGATCTTCAATAATTGGTAACAATTAACGTGTACAAATTTTTAAGATTAAGATTTACCGATAATGATATGCGTTTATTAAACGAATTTTGGAAATTGGCGCCCAGGTACGCCGGGTATTGAACAACGTTATACATTTCGGCTATTGACATAAGGGTTAATAGAAATCTAAAAAATTTCGCTAGAATTCTAAGAATTCGAAATTACCAGGAAATAGGAATACACTCTTACGAGAGCCATTTTTTCCAGTCCATTTCGCAGCTCGGTTTATCGTCTCGTAATCGACGGTGTAACATTGTAAATAAATCACCGTGATAAACTTAATCGTTGAGTATTACTTAATTGCCGTTTGTAGCATGAGTCGCGGGACCATTTTGTTTCCATTCGCGAAACTGGTCCACGATTATTGTGGAATGCGGTTACCAGCGAACTTTTACCACGAAAATGGATAAAATGGATCGTTTCAGCCGTGACGGGTTACCATTAAGGCGGATCCGTATTTACGTGACGTAATTCACGATTGCACAGTGATTATGGTGGATGTTTGGCGAAAGTAATAATTCTGGGCGAATTTTCGATACATTGAACGTGTATTGAAGATGATACGCGTGGTTTGGTTCATAGTGGTTGATGATATGCAGAGGAAAAAGTGGCGGGAGGACGCCATTAAGGATGAGGTTAACAGATTGGCTGCCTCGTTTTTGCTCTAATCAGAATTCAGTTGTTAGCGAAGTATTTAGATTTGAATTGGTGAAATGTGTTGTCGTATGTTTGTTTTTCTGATTTAAGATGTGTACCAGCGGTTTTTGATGTTTTCCGCATGGTAATACGTGAATTAATGGGAAACTTACGAGCGTTGAGGTTAATTGGTGTTTAGAAATTTGACGCCTGATGACTTCCGGTATGTTGCGTTCGTGTATTAACAGACAATAGAACAGAATTGAAAGTTGAAGATGAAAAGTTGTATTCTGTGAGTTTTCACAGAGGGGGAATTATTACAAATTAGAATTCAGGAGAATTGAAGCTTGGAACTTTAAAAAAAATTGAAAATAACCGAATAAGAACCTATAAAAATTCCAAATATTCTTCTTGTTTTTTTTTTTTATTTATTCCTTTTATTTGTGATAAAGGCACCTAAATTAGTCGACGTAACGACAAACTTGAGGAAGATCCAGCTAATAGGTTCTCCAGGTTCATCAGGTGTCCTTAATCTCATCCTTCGCGTCCAGTTCCCCGTTTATTTATCGTCGTAAGCTTCGTAAAGGAAGAAAATTAATCTGATCGCGAAGACGAGAAACAGGGTCGTTCTGGGCATATCTCGAGGTGAATAACCGAGAGGAAAGCGTCTGACTGAGCAAGATGGAGCATAAAAGTGGATCGCCAGTAAATCCGAACCTTGCGAGAAGTGTATATCGTCCAGTTTGTTCAACGACGAAACGCCCAATTGATCTTCCACTTACACATTACTGTTTACCCTACGACCAACTGTGAAACGAGTATAACTCACCAAAGTCGCTCACGTCCTTTTTTCTATAGAATTCAATATTTTTATATTAACAACGACATTTAATATTATATTATAATTGATTTCGATGTCGGTACGATATTACAAAATTACATTCAGAGGAGGATCTATCAACTTCTGGTGTGAAGAGATGGAAGGCAGAAGGGTGACATTGCGCAGCTGATGTGTACTGGCCTAATTTTCGAATTGGTGGGATGTTGTGTGACAATTAATTGCTCCATTAAAAGTTGCATCTTTTTAACATCACAGTTTACTATCTAGGATGTTCTTAGTCTATGGTGATTTGGAACTGCAAATGAAAAATTGTGTACTAACAGATATGTGTTTCAATTTTAATTACAATTCTTTTTGTTAAATTTCAAACTTTTACTCTTGCAATTGATACAATAATTTTTTCTACTCCGTTCCATCTTCCAATGCCGATATTCATCTATATTTTTAGGGTATTTCTCAGCTACGAACATTTTAAATTGCAAATATAATTGTCTTCTTTGCTTCTCCTCGAATCGTGAGTAGAATTTCAACGAACAGGAGGATATCCTTCTACAAGCCTCAACCGTCCGATTTACCCACGTAGAATGACGCATTTATGCATCTTCGAAAAGTAGCGTACCGGTTGGTCGGTCTTCAATGGGGCGTCGTGGGAAAAGTTGGAAATCAGCAGCCATGCTCAAGTACATTGAACTGCCACGGTGAAGAACGGCTACGTTGACATCTATATACTTTTTATCGTGAACGGGACCCACTGTGCTCAGCTCTACAGGGTGGTCCAAATGTTTTCAGTCACCTTCTCACAGAAAAAGAACATCATCGTTATCAAAAGCAATTCACAAAATCTGCATCGTTATTTTTAAATAATTCATTCGATAATAATGTTAATATATTGTCAACCGATTAGGCAGATCTAGGTACCATTTTCTATTCATGGTTGATAGAAATATGGTGGATATAAGAAAACCACCTAACCTAACTTAACCTCGAAATATAGTACTAAAACTAAAGTCGTTTATAATACTACATTGACAAAATATCACGATGCAATAAAAAATTACTATTACGTGGTGTTGATGAATATAAACAAAAACTGCCTAACCTAACCTAACTGTTAGTCACAAGAAATGGTTCTAAAATCGAAGTCAATCGTAATGTAGCGTCAAAGAACACTGTTACAAGATGTTCATGATAATAATATAAAAGGGCTACTTAACCTAACCTAACATAACCTAACTCGGTTAGAAAAAATGCTAGCAAAATGAAAGTCGATCCTCGAGTAACCTAACGTTAGACAATAATAAAAATCAGTGTTACGAGACGTTGATAAAAGGCGTGGTGAATATAAAAGGGATGTTAATTCGGGCCAGAGGTGAAACAGCGAAGCGTGTCATCGGTCTCGAGCGTGACAGGCGCGAGGAAGCTGGTGCACGCGATGCCGAGACGAAAGTTGGTCCCGTTCTATTATTAGCCGAGTTCCAGCCAAGTGCAACATCGTGATCGGGCCAGGAACGCATATGGCCAGCAACGAGCAAAGCGGAAAGAAGCTGAGAAAGAGAGTGAGAGAGAATGTTGGTGGTCTGGTCTCTGACTCTCTCCGTTCTTTCAACTGTTTCTCCTTCTTTAATTTTCTTGGGCCTTGATGTACCTTCTGATGAATCGATTGTGTCGAGATCTCGATGATGTTAATGTGTATTTGAATTTACATTCTTGTTTAGAAACTACAGCTTTTTTCTCGGAAGTGTGTTTCGATTTCGACAGCTTGATGACTTTAGAAATTGCAGATGTTGTAGAGAGTTTGTAAAAGGATGTATCAATAATTGTGATTAGGATTGTACACGTAGATTGAGTGGAATTGGAATACACAAAATTTAAGAGAATTGAAAAACTGTTTTATAATTTTAAAAAAATTATTTAACATTTTTTTTTTATAAAGCTACCATAAAAATTCTAATTTTTCTAAAATCGAACTACCTTCCCAAAGGTCAATTTATTCTACGGGAAAAACCTGGTCGCAGTGTTTGCTACTCGTGTTTGGCATTAGAACACGGTTAGCTTGAACTGCCTTTTAGGCGACACGCGATAGACAAAAGAAAGCTGGGCTAGTATGTTATTGCGGCCAAAAATGGCCCGATTTCGCACGTGTGCAACAGGGAATTTCGTTTATTACGAGTATATCGTGGTGTCTGGCAGCAAGAAAGCTCGTGCTTTTACTTCGCCAGAAACATAACAATATCGTATAAACAAACGGCCAGGGCCATGATGGTTTCCAATTCCCCACGAGGCAGACATGAATCAACTGGTGCGATGAACTTGTAAGAGCGCCCGCGCTTTTTGCATTTCGCGCGCGTTGAAACTCTATAGGGTGATCCAAAGAGAAAGTCTCCACCGTCGGGCGAAAGTCGGAAATTTTTCAATTCTTCGCGAATACAATGATATAATATTACTCTTGTACTATTCGGTATAGAAATTTTCGACATTTCTAAAAAAAATTAAAATTTAACCTAAAAATAGTAAAATTTTTCTGTAACTTTTTCGAATGGAAATTTTTGTTACATTTTGTTGTATTTCTTTTTTCCTTTTCAGACATGATTGGAATTTATTTGAAGTCAGATAATTATTATATTGTTCCTTCAGTGGTTAGGATATACAGTTTTGCACATGAAGTGATTAATTCACCGGTTTCCGTTTTCATACGTAAAAATTTCGCAACGATAATGATCCGAGCAAAATATACAAGCCCTCGGTAAGACTCTTGGCGGAGGAAGTTGTTCTTTCAAGATTTGCAGCTGTGTTGGGGGAGAAGGCTTAAACGCAAACACGGCTCGTAAAGAACGCTCAAAGAAAGCAAACTGTATTTTTGCATTGCGGGATTTATCGGCGAACCAATTTACTGGCAGCCATTTTGCGCTCATAGCGGAAAGAGAAACACTTGTTTCGAACGTTGGACGTTGACTCCATCCAGAAAATAATACTGATTTGTTGTTAAAGATATGAATTGTTATTGATTTTTATCTTTGAATTTGTCAGGTTAGGTTAGGTTAGCTCAAACTTACAAAATAATAATTTAACTTAATAATATTTAAACTTTTGTCTCTTCAATTCTGAGAATCTACCACAAATTTCATCTAATTTTTGCATTTTTTTAATTTTTCAGGAACAAGTACGGACCTGGTGCCTCAGCTTCTAGGCATGTTTGACGAGCTTGCACGACGGACCAATGGCTACAGTGACCACACGGTGCTCCAATCCACCTGCAACATACCGGCGGTACTGCAGAAACGTCTGAGCTTGGTATCCCATCGGGGCTCCATTTTCGGTCAGTTCTGTCCTGAGTTGTCCAAATCTCAGCCAGAGGACGCCATGTCCGACGATCAACCGTTACCAGAGAGCAACGTGAACATAGTCGTGGACGATGATGTTACACCTGAGAAAGACGACATGTTCGAGACGCTGAGCACAAGCCAGCAGGAGGATCGAAGTGAATGCACGTTGAACGAGAAACCTTATAGACGCGGAAGCAACGGGCTCACGCCGCTTAGGTACAACATACGATGCAGAAATACTGGGAGACCGTTGTCTGGAAGCTCAGTGGCGTCCAGCACCTCCTCCAGCGGGTGCAGCAACCAAGGGAACGCATGCACCATCAATCCTTATTTGGCATCGGTCGAGTCGCTCGCAGATACTTGCGCCAGCTCTCAAGGTGAGGGCTCTTGGCGGTTTGGTGGGGTTGGTGGAAATATGAAAGCAGTTTGGATAGCATTAGTGGATTGGTGAAGTTGAAATTTGGGTTTGGAGATGTTGGAAGGAGTTACTTGGATTCTCTGCTGAGTCTTTGAGGAATAGCAGATGTTAAGATTTGAGGAAAGTCTTTTTCTAAAAGTTGCAAATTTGGTTAGAGAAAGTAGGGATATGTAGATTATGTTCTTTCACATTTAGTCCATTGAGAAATTCCAGAGATTAAGAATTAATGATTATGAGGTAAGTGTGGGGATGCTTGATGAGTTAGCTTTAAATGAGAACTTGTTCGAATTGATGTGGAGACCAATGGAACAATAACAGGTGAACTACTTTTTACCTGATAGTACCTACTCTATACAAAAGAATCTAAATATAATTCCAAATAAAAGGCACACTCTCCTTTACTTTTCTTATTCTCCCAATATTTCAAGAAACACCAATAAAGCATCACCTTCTCCCCCTAATCAAACGATTAAACACAGTTGTTTCTCCCATAACTCATGCTGAAAAAGAAGCAGGTGCAATTCTTCCCCTCCAATAGCGAATAAAACAAAGTCGTCATCATCATTACGCATGTGTATCACCCTGGATCTCCTCTTAACTTTTTTTTCTTTTACCAAACAATTAAGAGAGAGATGTTTTATTGCACTACAAGGTCTGAAAAGGTTGGAAGATATTTTAGAAATCCGTTTCCTAGATACGTATCGGTCGAACGAGATTTCAAGGACTCCGACTTTCTCCATGGCTGGTAGCGTAATCAGCGGCAATGACAGTAATGATAGCGGCGGTGGCAATAAACTTCTCTCTCGTGGCATTCCGTGGTCATCGTTAAGGGAAACGTTGCTACGGCCTGAATTGCCGGCACGCGAGAAAACCCGTGCATTTCGAGAATCGAACAACCGTCTGATAGCACGTTACGCAGAAAAATTATCATTTCCGACGGTTCTTTCGCTTTCGTTTCACAAGAAACGATTTGTTACCGTTTACAAGAAATTATGCTAACCGTTTTTGCTCCCATTTTAACACCGATAAATACCTACATCGAGTTAGGGCAATTATTTGATCACTTGAAAGTAACTCAAAGTGAATTTCAAAATTGAGGTTAGGTTTTGGAAATTTTAAATAAAATCTTACATTCCTTATATTTTTGGGAATAGAGCTTTTAATATGATTCTATTATCTATAATATGGAAATTTAATTGTTAAGGGCGTGTTTTTTTTATATAATAATTTATTATGAAGCTTTGACGGTTGACAATGATTTGACAAAACTCGTAACACAAAAATGACTGTCAGGCAACTCTAATAATTATAAAATGACACTTACAACTCTAACCCAACTTAGGCGACTTTAGTAACATTGACTCTATCTGCAAGAAAAAACTTTCTCTCGTCTCTTTATATACGCACACTATTTAGGGGTTTTTCCATGAAAATGGTGAACGCATTGTGGGCCTCATGCGTCATCGAGGGTTTTCGTGATGGGCCTGGCTTCTATCCCTGTCGATTCCCACTTTCTCTTCTACAACCCTATTCCTATGCCTCTTAAAACTATGTAGAGGAAGAGCCAAACGTTTTTAAGATTATAGAATAGTTTAGAATCAGTAAGATATACCTTTGAAATTTATTATAGAGCAAGAATATTAATGTAAAAAATGTTTGGAATAGGTTCCGGAGACAGTGGAGTGGTGACAGTGTCAGAAACGAATTGTCGAATAGGGAACGATGGCAGTGGACAGAGAAGGAACAGTAGAGAGGAACCATTGTTCCACAGGCCACGTTACTGCGATCCTCACAGAAATCCCATGGAAAGGGTACTCCTTGAAATAGTTGACACTGAAGCAATATACGTCGAACATCTGAGACAAGTTATCCAGGTAATTAAATTTGACGCTTTAGTGAATCAAAAAAAAGAATAGATAAAAAAAGTCCTTATTTTCCAGGGTTACCTTATATATTGGAGAAACGATCCGGCATCGTTTGCGCATCAAATGCAGCTGAGTGATTTATTTAGCAATATTGAGGATATTTTCGAGTTCAACAGGTAAAGTAGTATTATAGAAAGTTTAATTAAAAATTCAGTTACTTATAATATAATTTAACATCAGAGAGTTCTTGAAAGAGATAGAGAAATGTGGTCTGGACCCGGTTTGCGTGGCGAACACGTTCATCAAGCACAACTCAGGATTCAAAGTATACACAGAGTATTGTACCAATTATCCAAGGTAAAATTAAGTCTGATTTAAAGTTCCAAGTGTTTTTTCATTCCTCGATATTACCTTGAGATTAATGCATTTCATTTTAGGACAGTTTCCGTTCTTACCGACCTAATGAGTCACGAAGAGACTGCGAACGCGTTTAGAGAGAGACAAGCAGCTTTGGGGCATGCGTTACCCCTTGGATCCTTCCTTCTGAAGCCTGTTCAGAGGATCCTGAAGTACCATTTACTTCTGGAGGTAAGTTATACCTGCAATTTTGACTCCAGACAAAAGAAAAATAGTTTTAATTAATTTATCCCTTGATTAACGTTTACAGAACTTGTCAAAAGAGTATGGAGCAGATTGTGAGTTAAGAGAAAACGAGACTGAGGGTAGGAAGGCAATCGAGGCGGCACTGGCCGCCATGACAGGTATCGCTAAGCACATTAACGCGATGAAACGAAGACACGAGCACGCGGTGCGTGTTCAAGTGATTCAGTCCCTCCTGTACGGGTGGCCTGGACCAGATTTAACCACCAGTGGTGAGTTGGTGGCAGAAGGAAGCTTTAGAATGCGGGGGGCGAAAGCTCCTAGGCATGCCTTCCTGTTCGACCGCATGCTTCTGCTCACCAAGAAGAAAGAAGATGGACTTTTAGTTTACAAAGCTCACATCATGGTACAGTTTATGTTCTTTTGTGTTAATTATGTAATGAAATATTGAGTGAAAATTTTATTCTATTTAATTTTGTATTCAAATCAACAGTGTTCAAATCTGATGCTCATTGAGAGTATACCGGGTGAACCACTCAGTTTTCATGTGATTCCTTTTGACAATCCTAGACTACAGTATACTTTACAGGTAACACAAATACTTTATTATTGATGACCGTCTTTATTACAATATGTATTTTTTATCAGGCACGAAACTTGGAACAAAAGAGAGAATGGACTTTGCAGATAAAGAGGGTGATTCTTGAAAATTATAACGCAGTTATTCCTTCTCACGCAAGGCAATTAGTCTTGCAGCTTGGCCAGACGCAACCAGAAGGTATGTTAAACGTTACACCATAAGAACTTTTTTATACAATCATTAGTAGTATGACAATAATGAAACAATTGTAGATGATGCTTTGGCAGACAGAGGATCAGTGAAGAAACAGCATTCAGCACCGCCGGAGTACTTGGAAAAACGGAAACAAGAGAGGGAGAGACGGAGGTCTGAAACTGGGCTTAGACAGAAGTTCAAGAAAGGTGGCAGAAAGTCTGAGACTACAATTGAGGTGCAAAAAACTTTATCCTTATAAAAAACGTTATTTATCTTTATAATTAAACTTAAAATTTGATTCATATTTCAACAGGATTCTCCAGCATCGCCACGAAAAAATCAGAGTGAGGATTCCAGCATCAATCTTTCCAGGGAGCAAGGATTTAGAGCTTCAGATGGGCGCGGGTCGAAAGTCAAGGTATTAAAAAATACATATCTTATGTTTTAATTCTGAGGTTATGTTCAGAACCTTAGAAATCTCTCTCTTCTTCTCCAAAATACAAACAGGATAACTTAAAATATTTATTATTCTGTTTAGGATCGCTTCACTGGTTGGAGGAGGAAATCAGAACCAGGTTTCCAATCTTACGTGTGTCTCGACCAATCCGACGAAGAGCAAAAGGAAGATACAGGTGACACAGGTTCAGCTACGGTCGAAACCGAGTGTGCCATCATTGAGAATGACAAGCGCGCGAACTCTCCACCGCCAGAAACCAAAGAGAACAAGGAACAGCAGACTCAGGCTCAAACCGTTGAAGAAATAGTCGGCCACATCCTGATGCAGAACCAGGAATTCCAGAAACTCCTCGAGAAACAACGAACGAACAGTACAGTGAACGTGAGGCAGCAGCAACGTTTCAATAAACGCATCTCTGCTGACACGTCTGACGACAGCGACTCGGAGAACACGAATTACATCGCTGATAACTCGGTGAACAATAGGGTACCGCGTATCAGGACGTGCTACCGCGAACGATTCGTTAAAACGAATAATACTTGGAATTCGTTGTCTTCTTCTCGTGACCATCAACCCACTTTACAACTACTGTACGACAATTTAAATAAAACAGAGAGCAATAAATCAGCGGAGGCAAAGAATAACAAGGTTAACCAAGTCCAGGAGAAGAAGGCATTGTTCGAGACATTTAAGAGACAAAGTATTGTGACTGAGAGCAAGGTTATCAAGACTGCGCTTAGGATAAGGGAGAACTCAACTTCCAGGAGCGAGGAACCTGTTGCTCAATCTCCAGTTCCGAAGGAAACTGAGATTCAGGTTATAGAGAGTGACAAGGGGGCGACCACTGTAAATGGTGAATATACAAATGAAGGTAACCGGGAAGTTACAGAGTCTAATAAGGGCTTTGGGAATTATGATAACTTACAGCATGTCTGGGAAGGTCTACAAGAGGAGAAAGACTTGGATGGGAATGACAGTCCAACTCGTCCAGCCGTCTGGTTAACAAAGCTGTGTGAAGGATTGCCAACTTCGCCTCAGAAGTGTGGTTCTCTTCCACGCAGCTTCCAAATTCATCCTAACTCCACTCAGAATGTAACCAAGTCGCGGTTTCTACAGAGAGACGGTAAACCTATGAGTGAAAGACCATTTACAATAGCTTCAGACAAACCGGCAGAGATTAACCTGGAGGACATGGAGAGATACGCGTCAACGTGTCAACCAGAAGGAAGAATCGCTAAGTTCCCGACTTCCGTTTCGAATTCCACTTCAACGTTCTTCTGTTCTTTGGATGACACGTTGACGGACGCTTATTCAGAAATCCACATGTCATCCACGACCACTAATATACATCCTGATCACAAGATCTACAGAGCAAACACTAGTGGAAGTACTATATTCAAAAACGTCCTCTCCAAGGCTGGTAATCGTCTGCAAGGTTTAAGGAACACCATGAGCACAGAAACTTTAGAGTGTAGTGAAGAATTGGAGAGGACCAAGTACTTCCGTTCGTTGAGTACAGGTAAGTTGAAAAAGAAGGGTAAGATGAAACACTCAAGGGAATCTTCCTCAGACGTAGAGGAGCTTGTTGGATGCACAGCCAGAGGTGGTTCAGACCTGAGAATCCCTTCATTGTATTACAAGCAAGGAAGTTCCAGTTTGGGTGCTCGAATTGCGCAGTCTGACTATGCAGATCCCACAGTATTGTTCTTTGAGAGCAAACGACTAGCGAGTAGACAGTCTCAAACTAAGGAAGAAAAGATAGAAGACGAAGAGGGCGTAGAAAATCGAGAAAGTGAAACGGACAGTTTCTACGAAAAGTCGTTTGAGACAATTGAGAACTACGTGGACGCAGATGTGGATGATGCTTTCCGGGATAGTGCAATATTTAGCGACATAGAGGAGGTTCTGGTAGCCAGGCCGCTTTCAAGTCAACCTTGTGAGGACTATGCACCCTTAAAGAGCAAGGTGGCACCACCAGTGCCTGCGAAGAAGAGAACAGAGTCCATTACATCTGTGAATTCCCAAGGGTACACCACTGTAACTACAAAATATAAACCGAACGTGGCTCAAAAACCTGACTATTTGAAGGTTAAGTCAGTGTTCCTAAAGGAACAACAAGAATTTGACTGTAAAGTGAAGTTCCCTGTATCTGAGAATGGAATGTATCAGTGTTCTAAAAACAGTTTACAGAGTGGTTACGTGCAGAACAGTAACGAGGAGAAGGATGATGTGTCGGCGGGACAAAGCCAAGCTGGCTGGGTGAGGAAAATCGTGGGTCAGCTGCAGGGCCACATTGAAACGTAATTTATGCCAATGAAAGTGTACAAATCTCGTGGCTGGAGCCTTGAACACGGGAATTTCAGGTTTGTGAAATGTTCTTAATCCTTTTGAGATTAACAAATATTATAGATTAAGTACTGGAGCATGTCGTTTGTATACTTGTCGGAAGAAATATGGAAAATGTATCTTAAAAGGGTTAAGCAGTTATTGTCCAGTTCAGTAATACTTCCTCGAATGATTCAGAGTTAGCAAAGTATATTCGTGAGTGATTTACCAAGTACAATCTTTGAGATTATATTTTATTAGTACAATAAAGGGTGGAAAGAAAGATTACAGATAAGATAAATGAAAGCAGAATTCATAAAGAGTAACATTGATCTAGATAAAACACAGAAATTGTAATGGAAGACATAATATGTACATAATTAAATATTTTGAATAACCTAATTTTTTTATCTTTAATATTAACATATATATTAACGAGACTTAAAAAACAAAAACAATGAACTATTGTTATGTACACGTTACGTTTCCCTTTGTACTATTATTGTGCCTTGTGTAAATTATTTCCCATGCAAACATGAAGTTCTAGTGTTGAAGTACACGTGTATTGTACAACATTGAAACAAATACTGCCGAACGATTTGTCATATCATGTAAATCAGTGGTAAAAAGAAGCAAACAACGTTGTAAGTGATACGTTCAATTATCGTATATCGTATTTAATCCGTTTCATATATAAATTTCATGTTAATGATACAGGGTAATTGGAAAGAATTTAAAAAAAATTAGAACATTTGGTTATTTAAATATTTAACATATAAATATATCTAACAAATTGTTACGAAAAAAATGTTAACACTATAGATTTTAATCGCCCTGTATTGTTATAAATTTTTACGAAAAAAATTTTCATATTTTAACGAAATTAGTCAGACTATTGTAAATCGATACACATCATGTCGACTGAATATTTTATGCGTCGATGTACTTGCATTAACTCGTTAGGATTCAGACAGCATTATTTTATTTTTCAACGATAAACGTGTTCGCTTGAACAACGATGAAAGTCACTTTTTATTTTTTATTTATTCACAGAACCTAACGGGTTAATTATCGTTTAATCGTATTCGAGAAAAAAGAAGAAAAACGCGCGATATATTTAACGTTACATAGAGACATTAATGATGCTCATGATGCAAATGAGTGCTTGATTTATTTGCAATTACACTAAGCGGAAAATTAAATTTTTTTTTTTGCAATAAATCAATCTAATTATTGTCAGCTGTCGTTTTCATTTTTTGATAAATTACATAGAACAAAGTACAGGTTATAGCTGATTCTGAATGAATGCTACAAGGATTTAAATATAGATCTAAAGGTTAGATTCTAGAGGTAAATCCAAATATTACTTCAGGTAGGTTTTATTACGAGAAATGTCTATTTACAAGAGGTTTCAGCTAGTCGTGTTTACAGATATAAGAGTAAATGATACAATAATGTTCATAAATTAGCTTCGCAATACTGTACGTATATAAAAAAGAAAGAGAAAAAAAGATATAATGACTAAAATGTGAGAAGCTCAGTGAACTGAAAAAACGATCATTCATTATACACATTATATACAACTGTAGTAACTATATGATACACTTAATCGTTTAGTATTACCTTGAATTAGAGTCTGCTCTCTATTCAGATAAAATTTTTCTCTCAAATCTCCGTTAGTTCTGGTTATGAATATAAATATAAAGAATAAATTAAGGTTTCCATCTCGTTTACAGAGTTTCTGCGATTGATGTTGTACACAGAAGTGATCTTTATGTTCAACTAACGAAAACGCATCTTGTATTACGCTACAAGAGGAAAAAGTAGTGCGTTATTACGACCCTTTCGACACGAAAATCACTTTCAAAAAGTTCATATCTTTAAATACAAGATTATTATACGCTAATCCCATAGATCAGTGCGGTCCAAGCTAATTTCTATAGTTTAAATAACTTCCCCCCATTTTGTCTTTCTAATCGTCCTATGGACGTTAGTGAACCAGTGATTATTTTTCCAGAAAACGTAATAAATTATTTGTTGCTAGTAACAGTACATAAAGAAATACAAAATAGAATAAGAAATTTCATTCTTGGACAACACTGACATAAATAACAACGACCAATCGTGCAACTTTACGCATCGAAAAGGTAAGACAACATATCAGTGCTTTCCAATCAGAGCTCTGTTGGAACCTCTGACGCAATTTATTTACTTAAGATAAAAAAAAACATACAATTGTAATACCGTCACCAACTTCAATGGGTTCCTTAAAATATTAAAACTCATTACAAAGAGTCCCCCGTTGGAAAACACTGTCGCAAACGAACGAAAGAAATTTCAACGAGATCGTTATCTCGTTTTCTCTTATACAGCATCTCATCGAGAAGCTCCTTAAACCTAGAATTCATTTATGCGACAACAATACGCTCCTCTTCTATGATTTTGTTTCCAAGAATATTCTCATTAAATCGTCATTTCTATATGCAGCTAAAGCTTTGGTTAATAACGCGCTATTGACAATATTGACAATTCTTTATAGTTTCCTTTTTTCCTTCATCTCCCTCGAAACAGCGCAAACTAACGAAATCTCGACATCGTTATTCACGCTAATCCTTATACTTCTTTGAACTTACATTGTCACTCTTACAATACGAACTTGCCCCTTAAAATATTCCATTTTGCTTATACGGCTTACATTTTTTCATGAAAAACATAATACATAGCTGAACAGAACATCGAATCGGCCTGAATAGTGTAACTTAACGATATTTAAACAGCACCTGCGAGAATCTGTGATTGTTGGAACCCTGAGAGTGATTTATAACTATTATTACCTAAAAGGTAATAACTAAAAAGGACAATTATAAAAATATAATGATAAATCTTTAACCTTCAAAATAATCCTCTATTATGAAATAGAAAAATAGCAGTAAAATAAGTACAGTAATTTCATTGATGTCACTCTCAGGATTAATTAAAATAAATTATAACTTTGTTGGTATTAAACAAATAATATATAGAACATAAAACCTAAGAGTATCACAGGATATAAAACAAAAAGTTTTGTGTCTTGCAATCTTGTAAATATGATCTTATGATTCTCTTAGGTAATTTCATATTTTCCATTCATAAGTAGAGGCAAAGCCACGAATCTGGTCAATATGGACAGGTACATGTTATCGCTGTACTATTTGTCCTACTGCTACAGAAGTCTACAGTGTGAGTAAATTGAACAAGAACATGAAAAATTAATTTCTGTGATCTCAATAAAATATCAGTGTACATGATTTTTTTGGAGTCATCAGCTTCAAATTCATGTGTCAATGTTCAATTTACACACAGCATACATATACATGGAAATTGGATAAAAATTAAATATCTTCAGCTATGCACTACATTCAACAAAAAACACTTCTGAAGGTTATATTTAAAAGTTTATGGTCATAAGTAGAATATGGATATGTAAAATCTCTGCATGTAAGATGTTTCTGTGTTTCTTTCCTAAATTTTATGTTTTCTAATAGTTGGTCTGCAATAGAGTATAATTACTTTTTCCCTAATATTTTCTCAACCATGTAATTGTTAGCATAAATATTTGTTCCTTGCATTTAGCCAATTTATTTGTATGCACTTTAAATTGCATATTTGATGCCATGAATAAAATTATTGTCTTTAGAATAATACAAAAATTTGCCAGGTAACTTTGCAGTGTCATTATTCATGACATTATTCAAACAAATGTTCAATTTTAGTATATGAATGCTTTACAGAATAATGTTTATACAAAGAAGAAATTAAAAAAAAAAAAACATGCATATAAAAAATTAGAAATGTCTCTTTACACATGTACATACATTCGTTTTAAATATCTAGAAAGCATATAGAATCTTTATCTTTCATTGATTCTAGAAATCTATATCACACCAATTATACATTTTGCTGGAAATTATCTGTAACATTTGGGGAAGTATTGGTCATGTGAACACAAGAAACAAAATGTTTTTCATAATTTATAAATAGCTGATAATCAATTAAAAAATGTGCAAAAACAATTTATTAACAAAAAGCATTTACCTCCAAAATGCTTCTAAATCTATATAAAAAGATATACTATTATAAACATTTATATAATGAGTAACAAAGATGAATGATTATAAATAACTTGAATCAAGCAACAAAGGCAATTTAAATGATTGTTAATACAAAATAATTTCTTCTAAATGCTGACATTACAAGCACTCAACATCTCCTAATAGTAAATGCTTAACAGCAAATACAGGGAAGACATTGCTTTATACACATTTCCTTTACAAGACCTACCATTTTATATAAGTAACATTCTAGTAGATTTCTCAACCAAGTTGTACAATTTGATTAAACATTTCACATTTGATTGCTCAAGCACTGATTGTAATTGCATACTAAATTGCTGACACGAACGTGTAAACGTTACCGACACATGGACCTGCTTAATCATATTCCCTGAAAAAAACATCCCTCTTGTCTTTAGAACTACATCTGTATGTATATTCTCTTAGAAAAAAGAAAAACTTATTAATATTGCAAATATTTTAAACATAGTCATCAATTCATTATTTAAATGTGCTGCTACATTTAATGACAGTACTTAAAGTAATATGATCATCACTCTGTGTAACTTTGTGCACATAAACTTCACAATGAATGAATAAATTACATCTCATAAACTTTATTTTATTTGGAATGAAATACTTGGACAAATGCATGTAATTGATGTCCTAGGATAATGCACAAGACAAGAGTGATATTTAAAGTCGTAAAGTGAACTATCTTGGACATATTTTGAACACAATTGCTTCAATTCTTTTTATATAAGAAACTGTCAGCATAAAATGTTCTTTTGCTAAGCAGAATTTTTCTACATCTTGTGATAATAACTTAGCATTAAATGTTAAATTATGTCACAGCATAAGTGGTATAAATATCAATATTTCGAAGCTATATAATCCATGTACTTTGTATATTTTTAAAGTTAAAACAAAATAAAAATCTTTTAACTCTAACTTTGGAGTATAAAGAAGTTACATTTGACAACAAAATTCAATTATATATATTGCTAATATATTATACCACTTATGTTTGGACAGTAAATACAACATTTATATAACATAATTATTAACCACAAACAATAAGCAGTCAAATATTATTTACTATAATGACACTATTATAGTAAGTTTTCAATAGCATAATACTTTCTTTAGTCACCTACTTTCTATTTACACAGCAAATCTTCATATAAAATACCAAAATATTTCAACATTTCCAAGATAATTTTACTCTGTTAATCCTTCCTAGTTCAATTTACATTTCATTCTTATCATTGCAAATCAATGACTTTGGTTTGCGAGCTATCGATGTATATATCGACAATGGATGGAAAAGTGCCAGATACTTGCAAAAATTTGCTAAATAACATTTAAAGGATACTGATAAATTCAAATATTTTTTAACATATTCAATTTTCCCTAATAATTATTTTTTAAGGGTCGCAAATTACAACACTTCACTTGCTTGCCTGGCCAAATTATATCAAATTTAAGCGGATTATGCGATAATAATACTAAAAATATATATTCCTATTCTAATAAAATTTAAACTACACGAAAAAATCGTTTTTTAATTTTTTTAAATTTTAATTAAGTGTTTTTATCGTGAAATATTATTCGTTTAAATGTCGACTAATACCTTTTCTTTTTTTGTTTTTTTTTGTTTTTTTTTTTTTAAGAACTATATTTTAAAATAACGTTCATTGTGAGATCTATTATTGCCTTACAATATACAAATTGTAAGCTTTTAAATTAGTTCCTTTTTTTTATATTTTTGACGTGTAATATTTAAAAAAAAACCTAAATTTTGAAAATAACGTTTAAACTTAATATAACAATAGATAATACAATTCTACACTAAAATGAACGTTTAAATCCTAACTTGTCTTTTATTTTATGCTACTAATTGCGTGCAAAAAATGCAAATTTTTCTACACGTAAAATGTTGCGTTTAAGTTGGTCGTTTTAATATTTATTTTAAGCTACGATACTCCGACAGAAATTCGAAATGAGTATTATTTAATATATTTTTGCGACGCAAATGAAAAGTATATCATACAAATAAATAACGATAGTGTTCGTTTTTTTTTTACTTTTTTTTTAGCAATCGTTAATTAAAAGTACAGTCTACGTTATTTGTTCTTGTATCGATTACACAAAGAAATCATAGAAATATCACATAGTATCGATCAATGCTAACTTCGATTAAATTATAGATAGCGTTGCAATTTTACATATCGTAAAATGCCGCATTATATATATCCTTTGATCATTCCGATGAAATAATCAATAATCTCAAACGTTTGTTAAGGAAAATTTATAAAAAAAAAACAAAAAAGAAAAAAAAGTGTAAATACTTAGCGTAACTTTCGTATGAACGTTTAATCCTTAAACTCTATGTATTCATCCAGCACTCTTCCTCCCCCAATACACAATTCATGTGTTAAGAAAGTCTTTCGCAAATGAGAAATCATGTTTCTCCCAGTCTTGAACCCATCACACAAAAATGCACTTATATCGTTATATCTTGAAGAAATAAGATACTAGTTTCATTGATATTCAAATATATATATGTGTATATAGATATATCGTGCTCCTAACCTTTGAATGTATCATGTATAATTCGAAGAAATTTTTGGATATTTATATAATACATATCCACCAAAATCGTACGTTTCTTTTCTCAAAAAGAAAACTAGCGAGAGAAATTTCAATCCTAGTTCCTTTCTCCTTTTTCCCCGTTAAAACTCCAATTATCAATATTAGACTTGATAGATAATTACACAACGTAAAGCATTCCATGGTGCACATAGTTAAAACATGTTCACGTGGTTACTAAAAATGATTGTTTCAGAGATGAATTAAATTGTTAAGACCTTTCGTAGATACTTCTTAAAATAAATAATTTATGATTGCCGTCATAAATTATTTTTGCAATTTATATTACAATCTTGCAATTTATACTACAATTTATAGTACAATCGTCCAAAATTAGAGACACTGATGAACGCAATGTCTTATTTAAAATAATTTTGATGCAAGGGCCCGATGCCTACCAAAGTAAAACTTATACGAAAAAAAAAAGGAATAGAAGATATATATTGCATCGAATACACGCGTTTCAATTTTACTCTATTATTTGTTTGTTCTCGTGCGAGAAAAATATATCTGGGACTGGCGTTCGGTAGGTTATAATTTTTATACGCTTGGTGACTAATTATGGAATTAAATCGTTGTCTTTGTTGCTCACTGTTTCTCACGTTCAAATATATTATTCTACTTAAACTACCTTTAGCCAATATCTTATTATGAGTTGTACAAACTTTAGATGAGAAGCTTATACGACGATACAATTTAATTTATGTCCAAGACTGTAGGGATTTTTCGTATTTGTCTAAAAATCATTCTAAAAATATAAGTATTCGTGTATCTATAAGTGAATATCGTGTATATGCGTGGTTCTCATTGTTCAAGATTCGTGTGAATGCAAGGAGATGAATTGAAAAGTGGAAAAAATCGTTTAAAATCAGGTTTTGACTTCTACTATCGTTCGCTAGACGTTTATCGTAACAACGTATACCGAGAAAATATGAATTTCGCGATAGCACGTTTCTTGGGAGTGGATCCATACAGTATAAGCTTTATTTTGCCAGGCATAAGGGCGATTTTACATATTTATTTTAAATATATCGTGCTTCTTCTCAATAATTTGATCCATTGTGATCTTCATTCCGACCTCGAAGATCAACAACTTTGAATCTGTCCTTGTTAAAAAGTTTTTTCTCTTTTCGTTTAGGTAAATAACCAGTTTATGCGGCATTGATGACTACATGGAGAACAGTGACGAACGACGTGCGTGTTTGTTACGTGTATGTTCACCGATAATACCGCCAATTTCAATCGTATGCACTTTTAAAGCAGGATAATTAACAATTCTCTTACCAACATCGACCACTGCTTCTCAGTACAGTCACATTTTACTTTACACGCAGTCAAAGGGAATCACAAGTCACTTGCGACACATTTACGCCTGTACATTTGCATTTGGAAGATGAGAACTTTAGTAACTGGCCTCGTGTCCAGCAAGTATGTATAAGTCCGCGCCCTCTGACTCAGTTAGCGTGCCTGTCTGAACCAAGTGGCTTTCCAACATCACAACTCTATCGAAACAATGAAATTGTTGTGTTCAAATTTTTTTTTTAAATTCACATATTCAAATTTTAATAATAGACATACTTATCTGACCCAAGCAATCTGTACGTTCTACTAGGATCACTGATTTCTTGCGTAACATCACCATTTTTGAAACTTCTACCTTGCATACCATGCTTGTGGAATGCTAGTACACTGTCCGGTAAGCAAACTACAGAAAAAAAATTATGAAATACAATTTAAATTTTTCATAATTTAATTTTATTCATTTTAAGTATACTTACTGATAGATTCGATTTGAAAGTTAAAATGTAACTCCGACATGTGCTTTCTGCTCGACCTAGGTTTTCCTTGCAGCGTCACCACTTTTACTACATCTGCAAAATATATGTATAAATAAATTATAAATTTCCAAATAACATTAAACCAGAATCAGTTTATTACTTACTATCGTAACAGACTAATATTGCATTTCTCTCTAGCTGTGCAACGTTAATAACGTGAAGGTTTTCTCTTCTTGGTATTACGGTGGCTAAAAAAAATATAAATTCTTAAATTAAGCAAAAAAGCAACGAGT